TTGGAGGCCACCGCTAGTAGATTGGAGGCCATTGCTTCTAGGTTGAAGGCCATCGCTGGTAGATCTCTTCTAGGCTTTTCAGATACAGGGTTTGTGTATATATATATATATGTGTGTAGTATATACATATAGCGAAGGTGCCATATAGCGGTATATGCATGGTAATTCAAAACAGCCCGTAAACTTAGAAGGTGCGCAGCAGGACCCCCCCTTCTAAATTTATCTACTGTTTTGAAGTGCCGAAAATGCTACCTTCTAAGTTCCGGGCCGTCGCTATATATATATATATACACATTGTAATTTGTAATATTTGCTGTCAAGGTGAACTTTTGGAACGATGTCGAGATCGGCTTGCTGACTACTGCAATTGTTCTTGCAAGTTTGACATCAACATTGCTACTAGGCTAGAGTATCAAAGTGGGTGTCATTACTACAGAGGACAGAACACCGGAAAGGGCAGGCACAAGCACAAGTATATTTCTACTTCCACACAAGTCGGTGTCTACTTTTTGCTTCATGCTTTTTGACCTTTGCTTTGTCCCGCATTCAACATCTACTTTGTTGCCCTGATCCTGTTTTATAAATCAATGCATATTCACACGTTCAAAAGAAGCACAACTCAGGTTGAGAATATGTTTTGCTTATGGAGCTGTCTTGGAAATCTTGTCTTGCGGGTAGCACAAGTGAAGAGTCTCAGCTCACATGCCTAGGATTGCAAATGACTTGCACTGGGCGCGATCCTTTATCACAGGGAGCATACTGATGACGCTCATCATCATGCTGGTGACAGTCCCTAGGCGCTAGGCTTGAGATGGTGACATTTATACCTGCTATAGGTATACGTGACGTCGGGTTGTAGGATTAATTGCCGATGAATCCAGATGCATTCTCATTACATTGCCGCCAGGCAAGGACAGTCTGTTTGGGGTTCAACAGTTCAGACACGTGATGGATAAGTTCGTATTCCTGACTGAGTTATTTCTATTCGCTGGTCATGCTAGATGTTCAATTTTTCGGAATGGTGGCGGATTCTCATCATGTTCCAGGGAGAAAAATGCCGCTGGGGACCCGGGGAGCTGTAGATTCTGTGCTTGTTTTTATATTTCTTGTGACTGGGCGCATCCAAAACCTATATACAAGGTAATTTGCGGCACCATGATTGTGCTTGTGATGATAAACCTGTATCGAGAGCGGCATCCTGCGGCAGAGACTGAACCTTTGGATAACTCTGAGATTCCAGTGGATGGTCACTTCAGTGAAGCCGGGAAAGAGTCCTGATGGACAAACAGTGTTCTCTATGTTTTCACGAATTCGTGCTTACTGTAAATGTTTGATTGACAGCACCGCCTGGCATAGATGCCATTGTACACCAAAGCAAAGCTCCGGCCATCCTCAGCGATGGCATTTCTCATTCTCACGAGTTTCCGACTTCGTCGAGCATTCAAAGTGTGTGTGTGTGTGTGTGTTTGTGTGTTGAGTGGTTGCTTTGAAATCTTGCCTTTGTCAACTGCAGCATGGTGGCCAGATGAGGTGCATAAGTGGCACGTGTGAAGAATACCAGAGATGGACAGCCGGTGATCGCTCTTTTGGCTTGGCTTAGGTGGTGGTTTTAGACATGCTTGAGCAAAAGAGAGGATGCCTTCCATTCCATGCTGGCTGTTAAGATTTTTGGAACTCCCATTGGCTTCGGTCCAGCAATGTCCAGCAGAGAAGTAAATAAGCCTGTTGTTTCAACATTGAAAGAAGAATTGCCTACAAAACCAAAATAGCCAACTGCAATGGGTGTTGGCTGTTAGTAGCTCTAGGAACAAAACAGTGGGACGATGTAGAAGTCGCAATGTTTCCACGCCATGGCTGCAGCTGTGGAATCGCCACACACCCAGAGCTCGGCTGTCCTTGGGGCGAGCAGCTTTTGTTCCACAGATATGTTCTTCCTGCAGAGCAGCGCTCTATTTTCATGAGGAAGGGATGGACGAGTGTTGAAATGGGAGGACGAGTTGGGTGCAAAGGGAGCTCCTGGGATCCCTTTGGAATGATGTCAGGACAATTATGGATGGACATTTCTGAGTCTTCGGCTGAACTATGGTTGCAGTTATATTCTTACAGATTGCAGTTCCGCCAAGGCCGAGACCGCCTCCAAATCTAAATCGCTCAGGTACGCGGGAGCATTCTCCTTGTTTCTAGGTGAGCTGTGAGAAGAAGGGGGGTAACGATGCAGATGCTTGAGCGCAGATTGGGCGAATGAAATCAGAAGAAAAACAATATAGGCCACCTCAAGAAATTGAAAGGCCGAGAAAGGGGGTTACGCAATACATAGGTGACCCAGAAGGATAATCAGTTGAGAGATGTTGAGACGAAATGGGTGAATCAACGAGGCTGGATCATTCGTTTGGTTGATCTTGGCACAGAATGCAATAGGGCCAGTGGACAAGGTGTTGTTTGCTCTTCAGTACACAGAAGCATTGGCCAAACTTGTCACAAAACAATGCAGCTCCTCATGCTATACAAGTCAACTTGCCGATGTGGCCATTGCCGCACTGGGGAGGCTATCCACCGCCGTGGCCCGTTGCACCAGCGCTAGTCCGGTAGCCGGAAGAGTGAGCTCATCGGAGAACGTCGAACGGGCGAAGTGCAAGTTGCCACTGCATGTTGCTTTGGTACATTGCACAACAGGTAATGTTTGTTTAGTAAACAAACAGCAGATATTGGCGGCATGGATATGTTTGGTGTTGTCACGGGCATAGATCCAGGCAAGAGCTGGTAGTTGCTAGTCAGAAACTCTAATAGTGAGAGATTCGCGGTGTACAAACTATATCCATGTTGTCATCACTGGTTTTGCCAAAAAGGATTATTATTAGCACCGTCAAATGCACGGGTGTTTTTGCGCACACTGAATTTGTTGTGGCTTTGGATGCTTTGAAGGAACTGACGGCATTAAGTGAAGTACATAGCGAAAAGACATGTACAGGAGCTAGGAACTAATCAGGAACTAGGAACTAGTGTATGTGGGGCATATGCGTTTGGATATGTCCCAGTCCTTGAAGGTTGAACAAATGGAAGAGTTTGGCGCAAGAACATGCTGCAGCATTTTGTATTCTTTCTTATTTCTTGAAGAAGAAGAAGAAGAAGAAGAAGCAGCTCTGGGGGGTCATAACACATCAATAATTTCTTCGTGTTGATATGACTTGTTTCAAATCCTATACAGTGGTTTTCGAGTTTTTGTCCATCGCGCCTTGGGATACCATGCCTTAGGCATTTTGGGAGCCTGTCGCAGAGCCACAAGCGGGGCCTTCTGCAGTCGATACTAGCGCGAGCGCCAGTGGAATAAAGTGCAGCAGGTTGTTTTGGGTTCCTGGGGAACTCAACTGTACTAGTAACAAGACGCTACTAGGTGGAGGCCATCGCTATTAGGTTGGAGGCCATTACATTGTAAGGTGTTTTTTTTGTCAAAGGCTTTTCAATGTGGTTGCTTGATTTTAGGCAGGTTCAAAAACGACTGGTCTAGTAAATCAACTGGACATAGCTGGACGACAATGTGGCCCGAAAGCAATGTAATTTTACGGTACGTCATGATATGTTCTTGTGGACTTCCAATGAAACACCAGCGCAGGGACACGTAGCGCTCCACCACCGGCAGGATCACACCACTTGCACTCGGAAAAAATTTAGATCTGCGATGCGCAAATCGAGCGCGATGTAAATGTAACACAAAGGCAACGCGATGTACAGTACGTGCAACACAATGTACCGCTACCCTTTTTTTGGAACAAACCCTTCCCGCTGTATTCGGGGCATGAAACAAGAAAACATTGAAGAGCAATTCGTGGTGCTTCTTGTTTTGGTTTGTGCACCGAATGCGAAGTTCTGACTTCCAAGGCCAACTCTTGGCCTCAGCACAGGCAGAGGCTGATGGCATTTGCCAAGAGATTCGGAGCGGAACTTGGGGGCTTGTGGGATTGTCCTTCAAAGCCTGAGACGGTACACGTTTGAAGAGCACTTGAGAGGGCATAACGATTATAAATTAAAATCATATTATAACAGTATAAGAGGAAAAGTGACAGCACCGCACATAATAATTCATTCATGCACATATGTATCATATCTATATATTATATATGTGTGTGTTTGTCTCCCCCGCGAAGACAACGAGGAGTGTTAGGAGTGTTGTGTTGTAGTATCTTTGTTTGTGTCTAGAAGTCAATGTTTGTACCAGGCATGAAAACCATAACAAAACTGACAGCAGCGAGCACACCTGTAGACAATTGCCCACAAATGTATATAGTTATATAATTAGTGTTTTGCAAGTTCCACACAGTACAAACGCATGCAGTGCACACGAATGTAGACTGCACATGTTGCACTTGGTCAAAGCACTGCAAAACGATAAGAAAGTAAGATCAGGCCAACAGTCAACGTGGTAAAGGGAAAGGTGACATTGCTTCACGATCATGGTTGGTTTTGAATTCAAGGTGCTGTGATTTGGCATTTGGCGCAAAGAAGCGCTTGGGTTTCGGAACACTTTTAGGAAGACGAGCCGTTATGTGTTCACTCCAATTGATGTTTGTCCCATTTCGTGGTGAAGGGTTGAGGCAGATGTTCCATTTTCCAAGGCGCCTGGCACGACCTCACCTTGCAGGGCCCAGCGCCGCTTGGATATTGAAGGAATTCGGAATTCTGTCCAAACTCGAAAAAGCTCCCATGAACACCACCCTTGCGATACTCGGCCACTCTCCGGTGCAGTTACAGCTCAAATCAGTTGGTTGGCAGTGAAGCTGGGTTTGTGCAAGCGTTCTGTCCAGTGTTGAGAGATTGGGAGATATTTTGAGCACTCTTGCCTCAGGCTGCCAGCGAAAGGAGAGGGATTGCATTCTGTGAGAGTCAAGAAGATGGTATCACGATACGTAGCGGTTCTCCATGAGCAGTTGTTCAGTTCTGTTCAAGACTCTAGATTATTTTTGAACATCTTTAAACTGTAAAGCTAAACTCAAGGCATGTTCATGACCGAACAAGATGGAGCTCATTCATGTGTCCGGTGAGGGCATGATTATGCCTGAGAAGCATGTATAGTATAGGCAACAGTATTTTACACCGCTTGCAAGGTTGACAACAAACATGCAGACAGTTTGCAGACCCCCTTCTGACAACTTGTGCTTTTTGTTAGGACCCGCAAGGCATACCTTATGGAGCTGGACCAGGCTGGGGAAAGTCAGCGGTTTTAGGCAGATTGTTTCAAATGCAAATCAGGTTAACGCCGAAACAATGTTTTCTTTGCGGGCGTTTAATTTAATTAAACGGCCAGGCAGAAGAAATCTACCAGACGGTCGAGAGAGAGTGCGGGCCAAAACTTGTGTCACAGCAGAACAAGACATGTATAGATATTGCCAGATATTTGTTTCTTCATTGGTGCAGTCTTAGCACACCTCATTGACTACTTTGCAAGTCTAAGGCTTGTTCGTTTGCAGAGGCACCACCAGGACCAAGTGGTGCAGACGATCAGTATTCGAAAGACAAAGAGTTGGTTTGATCTTTGTGCAATCGCAGCTTTTGGGCATATATAATTCTGCATTCTGCATAATAACTTCCTTCAGCTGCCGTTTGTCAGCTTTTGTGAGGAGCTGCTTCAGCGCTCAGAAATGGAGCGTGGATTGCGAGGAGAAGCAGAACGCGCCCAGCAGGCCAAATCAATCAAACAAACTGCATGCTTGCTGCTGCTGCTGCTGCC